ATTTGGTATGTGTAGTGAAAAGGAGATTAGACATACCCAAATCCTGCAACCATTCTTCATGTTTTAGCATCCAGCCTCCTAATCATCCTTGTTGCTCTTCTCTGCACTTTTTCCAGAGTCTCAACATCTATTTATATTGTGGTGACCAAAACCGAATGCAATATTTCTCACTGTTAGGAAATTTCACCTTAGTTCTAGGTTGCTTCTCTCCTTGTTTAGTTTCCATCACTACTGTACAGGAGGCAGTGTTCCAATATTTGAGGGGCTGCCACAAAGAAAAGGGTGGTCAACCTATTTTCCAAAGCACCAGAAGAGAAGACAAGAAAAATGGATAGAAATTAATCAAGAAGAGAAGCAGCCTAGAACTAAGGTGAAATTTCCTAACAATGAAAACAATTAACTAGTGGAATGGCTTGAATTCAGAAGCTGTGGATGCTTCATCACTGGAGGCTTTTAAGAAGAGACTGGGCAGCCGTTTGTCTGAAATGGCATAAGGTTTCCTACTTTATCAGGGGGTTGGACTAGAAGACCTCCAGTCCTTTCCAACGCTGTTATTCTGTTATTTATTCAGTTCGTATATCTCTCCTTTCTATTACTATTTTCTTGGCTATATTTGTGTTCAATGAAAACTGATTAATTCAACAGTGTGGCATATTTGCAACCCATCTTAGAAAGATGTTTTTAAGTACGTTTAAATAGAACACCAGTGCTGGGCAGTTTATTAATAATGTAGTTTGTTTGGTTTGACTTAATGATGGGAATCAACTGGCCCTAGAAAGTTAGACAGTTCGAGACTATAGACCAGGGCTTTTCAACCTGTTCACCCATTGTACCACTTTTAGGATATGGCAATATCCAAGTACCACCAGTCACCTAGCAAGTTGTCAAAAACTTGATGACCCCCCCCAAAGGAAAAAAGTGATAAAGTACAGGTAGTCCTCAACTTACAACAGTTCGCTTAGTGACTGTTCGAAGTTACAATGGCACTGAAAAAAGTGCCCCCAAGGCACAGCCAAGCAAGACACCTGCTTGCCCACCTGGCAGCGCTCTCATTCCCCTCCCCCGCTACCACTTTTCTAGGATGGTCACGTACCACCTGCCAGGTGCCAATGTACCACAGGTGGTACCCGTACCACTGGTTAAAGAGCCGTGCTATAGACCACCAGGCCATCTTGTAGCCATAAAGTCTACACGGACAAATATCCAGGAGTTGAGATTATTAGCTAATACTGTGTGAATCTAGTTAATTGTGGTACATTCAGCAAACCATAGTTTAGCAAGTCACAGTTTAGTATGGTGGATGAATTAAGTGAATTAAGATTGTGCCCCACATCCTATTCAAATGAAACCGAATGTATGAATAGCAGCTATGCCAGAGTTTAATCACTTGCAAATGGTGTAACCAGATTTGCTGGCTATTAACAAGGCAAGGTCATCTTTTAAATGCCAATGGGCATAAATATAGAATCATGGAGCTAAAAGAAGAAGAAAACTTAACCTGAAGAATTGACATGCTGCCTGCTTTTTTATTTAAATACATTTTTAAAAATTGAGTAGTCCCCTGATGTTGGATATGTATTCATTTGAGCCATTCTGCTACCCATGCTTAAATAAAGCACCATCCGTCTGGTCCACTAAAAATTGCAAACAGGTAATTAAAAAATATTTTTCCTTCAAATAAGACTTTTGACTTTTGGAGAGAGGGAGGGGGGAGGAAGGAATGATACCCATTCCTCAAAACTTGCATCATAAACCAATCTTGTTTTATGGCAAAACAATTTTTCAGGACTTCATTAGCTGCTCAGGACAGTTGTGTTTCTCCTTGTGAGGTCTTGATGTCTCTCTGTCATAGCAACAGTGATGCTGTTGTTGGTTTGGTTGAGCCACCTGGACTTTACAAAGTTATGAGATTATACTCAACTTTAGAGAGCTTAGGTGGCCATGGCACAGCCGGGGGATATTTTAGGCAGTGGAGACAGCCCAGGGTCTGTAAAAAAAACTTGGCAGCCGTTATCTGGTATGTGGGCTATAAATTCCACATTCCTCCATTGCATTTTAGAGAGTATTGAACACATTTCTTAACTAGCAATTAGGCTGTATTCTTACCCATGTTTTCTTAATTCAAAACCCACTCCTGGGTACTACTGGGGTAAGTGTATGACCATAGGTTAGGGGCTTCAGTTTGTTGATAGTTGGAGCAAGTTCATCAGGTCCATTTAATCCTTTTTAAATCTGTTCCCTCTCCTGCTAGTCCTCACTTCCTTGCTCTTCAGCAACCCATAGCCTGATGTTTTAATAATTAAAAGTAAAACAGTTTCCTGGGCAACTTTCCTATATTTGATTTAAATTTGTTGTTATGAAGGGGGAAAGTCATTTCTTTATATATTTCTTTTCTTTTTCTTTGCTATATTATTTTTCCCTTCAACTTTTCCCTTTACTGTGCTTTCTATTATTCTTTTATTTTATTTTATTTTAGTTTGCATTAGTTCTTTCTTTTAATTATAGTGTTTAGTAAAATTACTGTTAAAATGTTTTAATATAGTTGCACCCTTTCCTAAAAACAATCTGGCAGGTAATCCCAGGAAAAGACATGCCTTCAAGATGATGCAGACAAGAACCATGTTGGTAATCCTGTTTACAATCTTGAATCCTTCAAACTATCACTGGGAAACTGAAATGCTACATGCAACTATCCTTAATAAACTATTAATTATAAGAGTGTTTCATTTGAAGAGCTTACGAAACTATTGCGGAAGAAAGCGGTTTACTGAAAAATTACACAGTGCAGCATAAAGCAGGACATTGGATTCAGACCAAGATTGGTTCTTCATTTCTTTTAAGAATATGGAGTTAATGGGCTGAGGTTTGATCTATCCATACAAAACAATGATATAACTTGAAGAGAGTTAACTGCACCAGTCCAAATCTGCAGATAGATAAATTGCATCTTTAATGCTCATCTCTAAGTAGAAAAAATGACTGAACAGGGAGCAGGAGAGCTTAAACTAGGCAGGAAGAGAGAGAGAGAGGCAGAGGCAGTTCTTGCTTGCAATTCATATCTCCTTCAGAAACATTCAGATGTGGAATCTGTCCATGTGCTCTAAAGTATATTGTCTGTCATAATAAGGACAGCCATAACCCAAAAAAGCAGCTTTCTGGCAACCAGTTAAGAGGCTTCAGGGTAAGAAAAAAGTGTTGTTTGGAAAAAAGGGAACTGAACCAAGATGTAGGTGATGCTTTTCTTGTGCATTTAAAGAGGATGTTCTCTGGAACCTACCTGGAAGATGTGCATGAAATGGGGACAAGTAAAACCAGACATGAACGGTTTAAAGATGTCGGAACCAGGCCAAGCTTTTGAGAGGGCAAAATACTCTGACACTTTGAAGAGCAGGTTCTGAAAGTGCTTTATGAAGGTGTTTTTCTCACATAGCAGTAATATTTTCCCTCAGGTTCATAAAAATCCTTTCACTGTGAATATTCGTGCCCAGTACTAGCAAAAAAAGGCAAACATTTTAAAACTATTTCTTGAAACATTTTTCCCATGCATCTTTTTATTTATTTTAATAAGAGTGGGATCTGTAGCTATTATATGGTGTAACTTCATAGGTAAGAAGTTACACCATTTAATAGCTACAGATCCCACTCTCGCTGTTTAAAATTGTATTGTTTATTTTATCTTGATTGTAGAATATCAGTACAATTCAGATGTCATTAAACGTATGAGTCCTCAAATATTCTAGGCTGTCAAAAATAAAAAAAAGGTGGGATGGAAAGGAAATTCAGATACATAGCCAATTATCCTGAATAATCAACTACAAGTAATGATCTAGACTGAAATTGGGCTTTGATTCTCGTTTTAGCAATAGTCTGCAACTTTATTCAACATTTTAAGCTTATTTTGTCTAATAGCTATTTCCTATTCTCTGAGAGCTTGGCCATGGTCAGTAGTTCACTAAAGATGTCATCTTGACACATGACATTAAAAATGCATTTTAAAGAGAATATTAGGATTACATTGGCTATTATCAATGCTCTTATACAGATCTACAATGAACTATTATACACAGTTCTGTTCACTCTCATAAGAATATTAGAAGTTTCTGTCTTATGGCTACTGTTTGGGATTTAGTTAGAAGAAGAAATATAATACAAGAAACAGGCACTGAAGGCATTAGAGGTTTGCACCATGCTCAAAGAACACAGCCTTCAGAACAATGCATGTAGTATTTTTAAAGAATTTGATGACTCAAAGTACTGTATTCTTTTGCTGCTTGACTTTAGGAGGATTGCAAAATCTGAATTAATGGTTCATAACCTCAATTGAGGTATATCTATCATATGTTAATTCCTCAGAAGCAAGGACAGAAAAAGGATATTTGAATTCATACCCTGGATGACTACACCAGAAGTATCTGTTGCATCCAAAACAGATTGGCACCTCAAGCAGCTGTGTTTGCGCACCTCTGTCTTCCAGTTCATCCTTTCCATTATCTTACCCAGTCCTTTCTTGCTTTTTGGACATATAAATATGAATGCTGCATTTGCCTGGTTCATTTTCCATAATTGGATATGCATTGCAATGGGTGATTGGGATCGCTATGACTGTGAACTATAAGACCAGGAATCGCATGACTTGCTGTCATGATGATATCTCAGATGGAAAAAAGTCCCAGAGAGCATCACTTTGAAGACACTGTAAGCAGTGTCTTTGTATAGGAGTTGTACTTAAGAAATGTATATTTCTAGTTGTTTCAGTAGAACCAGAAAATGTATATTTCTAGTTGTTTCAGTAGAATCAGAAATTACTGTTGTCCTAAAACATTATTGTCATTGGAGAAAAAATTGTGATCTTCCTTCACGATCAGATTGCCTTTTTCTATGCAATCCATACATTTCATAATGTAAAGTTAATCGGAAAACTAGAACTAGCAACAATTTAACTACATGGCACAAGGAACGAACTGTTTATTGGTAGTTTACTGATTATCACTTTTTCCTAGGTGCTGAGGAAGTCCTTTTGCTCGCTAGAAGAACGGATCTACGAAGAATTTCCCTGGACATGCCAGACTTCACAGATGTTATTCTGCAAATAGACAACATTAGGCATGCTATTGCAATTGACTATGACCCTGTTGAGGGCTACATATATTGGACAGATGATGATGTCAGAGCTATTCGACGGGCATTTCTTGATGGATCTGGAGCCCAGACTCTAGTAACAACAGAGATAAATCATCCTGATGGCATTGCAGTAGATTGGGTGGGTAGGAATTTGTATTGGACTGATACTGGTACAGATCGGATTGAAGTTACACGTTTGAATGGGACGTCAAGAAAGATCCTTATTTCAGAAAACTTAGATGAACCTAGAGCAATAGTGCTCAATCCTGTGATGGGGTAAGTCTTGCGAGTATTTGTTCAGTCTTAAAAAACTATGGTGGTTGTTTTGCCTTTGCATTTCTGTGCTATGGAACATGTCACAGGTAGTCTTTGTAGAGCCGTGGTTAGAATGCAGTATAATTGCAGGATAATTCTGCCAACTGCCAGAAGTTTGATTCTCACCGGCTCATGGTTGACTCAGCTTCCATCCTTCCAAGGTGGGTAAAATGAGGATCCAGATTGTTGGGGCCAATACGCCACTCTGTAAACCACTTAGAGAGGGCTGTAAAGCACTGTGAAGTGGTATATGCGTCTAAGTGCTATTGCTATTGCTCAACGTAACAACCACAATTGGGACTAGAATTTACATTTAAATTGTTCCAGTCATAAGTCAGACCCAATTTTACAGCAATTTTTTTTACAATGATTGTTAAGCAAATCACTGTGGTTATTAAACAAATCATATGATCATTAAGCAAATCCAGCATACCCAATGAGCATCTTCCCCCCCCCCCCCCGGAAATCAGCTAAAAGTGATCACACCACCCAGAACAGTTACCAAGAACTCAAATTGTGATCATGTGACCGTAGGGGTGGTGTGATGGGTGTAAGTGTGAGTGAAGGTAATAAATCACTTTTTCCAAGGCTGTTGTAACTAAGTCCAGAACCACTTGTACTTTAAAAATGTTACCTGTTTTGCCATACCATTTTCCAGTGGCAGTGTAACAGAATATGTTTTCCCAACTGCATATTTTTTATTAGTATTTAGTAAATTTGGAATACACAACCATCAGTCTATTTATTCTAGGCTGATGATTTTTAGGTAAAAAATTTCCTTCCTCATTTAAAGTATTTTTCCATATGATATTATTATCCCTTTCTATATCTTGCAAGCTCTGAAATCTTTGAATGAATCTTTCTCTTTTTTAAAAATATTTTTATTGAATAACAAAAATTAAAAACATTGAACATGGTAAATCAGATTTGACATACATCACAGTTCATATTCACAATTAACTACTAATATAAGAAAAAAACCCTTTACAATAACATCACTCTAATCTCAATCTTAACTTATCTCATTACAATAACTACCATATTTTTCCCCCACCATCTATAAAATTTATCCCAAATTTGATAAAAATCCGTTTCATCCTGATTTTTGAGTCTCTTAGTTAACCTATCTAATTCTGCGCAGTGCATAATTTTATGAATTAAGATTTCCTCACTAGGTATAGCCGTAGCTTTCCAATTTTGAGCGAATACAATTCTTGCCGCTGTAACCACCTGAGTGAATAAATATATATCTTCTTTACTAACATTATTTTCAAGAATTCCTAACAACAATGTCTCAGGCTTATACTGGATGTTTTGCATACTCATTTCTGTTACCCATTCCCAAACCATACGCCAATATCTCTGTGCTTCCTTACATAGCCACCAAACATGAAAATATGTGCCCTTTTCCTTTTTTACATTTCCAACATAATGATGAGTATCCTTTGTACATTTTGGCTAATCTTGCTGGAGGGAGAGGCCATCTGTAAATCATCTTATACGAATTTGAATGAATCTTTCTCTTTAGTGCCAGTTCATGGAAAAGCTTCTTGCTGAAAGGCACACTTTAAAAATGCAATAATATAGTTGATAAAATACTTGCATGTAAAAATAACACTGCTGTTCTTCTCCTTCCACAAAAGGTATATGTATTGGACAGACTGGGGTGAAAATCCAAAGATTGAGTCTGCTTATCTGGATGGATCTGAGAGGAAAGTGCTGGTGAATACTTCTCTAGGATGGCCTAATGGTTTGGCATTGGATCTTGAAGAAAACAAACTTTATTGGGGAGATGCAAAGACTGACAAAATTGAGGTAAGTGAGAATTTTCCAGATAACTGTGGTAAGAATACATTCTGTTCCAGAGAAAACATCTTGATTTGTTTTCCTACTTTTTGGAAACATTGCATTACCAGAGATAGTTTCTGAAAAGGATGGGAGCGGGGGGGGGGGGGAAAGCCCCAACTCCAACAATAGAGTTTGTATGTTGCTTTAAAAGGATCCAGCCTGTCCTGACAACTGAGAACAAGGGGTGCTTTTTGCCCAGGCAAATACAGAACTGCACCGTCAGAGGCCAAGAAGCAGAGAAATGTTAGAGCTAGGCTATTAAAATAAGTCAATTTATTGAAAGTTAGGTCTGGAATTCATTATCAAATGACAAACATGGAGAAAACTATTTAAAACAAATAATATTCTCCTTCAGAATTCTCAGAAGAGAATTATATTGCAGCTTAATTCTGTCTGGGTAATTTATGCATCCTGCTGGAAGTATTTTGTGTTAAGTTCAAGGCTTACTGACTTTATACAATAAAAGTAATAAAATCCAGCAAATATATGATGTAAGTCTTCAGGTTGGGAGTATTAATCTTGAGCATGTGATACTGAAAGAGTATTCTTTGTGCAGTTACCACAGTGTGTTTTCTAAGGTAGTGCATTTTTTTAAATGCGCCAGAAACTTTAGGATGTGTTGACAGAATAATACTCGGAATTCAAAGTGACCAGGCACAATTTGTGGTGGGGATGCTGAAGTTAGCCATTTGCTCTGTGCTCTGTCTTGCCAACCATACTTCTTAAGCACCGTATTATTTCCTTGGCAAAAATGTTGAAGAATGTCTGGTATATAATAGGTTGCACAATAATGTACTTCGATTAATTGCATGTTGCATTTTTAGCTGTCCGTTGTTTCAGAAAACCAACCTTTTTGGTCCCTTGAGAGGGAGAAACCTACCCAGCCCCGCTCCCAAGCAGGAAAATACTGCTAGATACATAGGAGTGTGTTCCTTAATTATGTGTGTAAAACCTCACATGGCAGAAACAGCAGTTATTCATTCTTGGCAGAAACGTTCCCATCTGCAGCATTCAGCTGTAGATACAAAGGCCTCAGTCACTTCACAAGCCGTTTATATCCTAAAGAAACCATTTGGCGAGCCTTGTCAAACGTTGCGTGACAACAGCCTTTGGGGCTTTCACTGCAAATTTGGCACCCTGTGGTAACATTGTTCCCAGCTCTTAAAAAGTTTTTTTTTCTAACTTGATTTGGCAGCATGTTTGAAAGGTGGGAGAGAGAGGAGAGAGAGCAAAAAATTGTAACAGATTTTAGAGAGGTAGATGGGGAAAGTATCTTGGATTCAAGAGGTGCAGCTGATTCAAAGTGAATGGCAAAAGTAAATTGAAAGAAAATTTAGGATTCTTTCAGAAAACAGTACATTCCAGGAACAAATGAATGTGGCTTACAAGGTTCCAGCTGAAGGAGTAGCAAAGAGCCATTGACACCTGCCTGCAAAATTTGCCTGATTCTCTTTCAAAACCAGTTTTGTGGGTTGTCTTGTCAACATTTGCTTAATGACTGTGTATAATTGCATAATTAAAAAATGTTGACCTATTTGTCTATTTTTAGAAGTGTTTTCCTAATTTAAACTGCTGTAAAACAACATAGTTAAAAGATAACATGTAACCTGCAGAATCACCACTTCTTCCCCCCCACAGAAGCTTTGTGATTATTTTCTTCAGAACAAATTCAGAATTTCCACCAGACATTCTCTAAAGTATTGTGCAGTGCTAAACAGTGTCTGTGAGGCATAATGCAGGTCATTAGTTCAGGCCCTTCACCTCTATCTGCAAACCCAACAAAACTCATTGATCCTTCTGACAACCTGGTTCTTCCTACTTTTTCTCCCTATAGTTATTTGATGGATATTGTAGAAACAAAGCCTTGCTGTATGTCAGAATAGGCTTTCAAAGTAATGACTTTTACAGGGAAGTATTTTTATTCCAGGTAATTTCTGCATACATTAAATATGATATTTAAAATAACACGTTTAATCTCCAGCTCAGGTTTGAAGAATTTCTTTCAATCTTGTAAAAGATAGAAGGATCTTCTAGCATGGTTACCTTTACATATGTAAATATACAAATCAGTCCAGAATTCTAGAATACATGTTTATATTTATTTCTCAAAATTTAATTGTTTTCCTTTTGTGTCTTAATTATGTTTTACATTTTTGGGGAAAAAAAACCTGATCAAAATCTTACTCAAAACTTGAGTTGCAGGGCAAATCTACTGTCCCATCTCTTGTCTTTAGTTCCCAGACTTAATTTCTTTGAGGCTGCAACAGTACTAGCAAGAAAAGTGACTGCGTGAGTGGCTTCCCTTGTTTGATATTCTAAATGCATTTTATATGGTATTTTTAATTTATAAATAATCTGCTCTTTCCTTACACGTAAACTAAGTAAAAAGAATTATTGAAAAAAGTAGCTGTTTTATACTTAAAATTAATGATGTATTCTTTATCCTGCATCAAAATAAACTGTTTATTTTTTAATAAATGGGGCAGGGAGGAAGAGACGGTTGGGAGCCTTGAATAGGGTAACTGACCCATCAGGAAGCTATGTCAGAAGTAAAGCAGTTGCCTTCCCACCGTCAAAGGACAAATGGACGTTGATCATCCTGAATAATACTGAGTAGCCTGACTTTCAGGGAACCAATTAAAGGACTGCTGTGGCTTGCTGCAATATAGTTTCCACACAAGTTTGAAATTCTTCTGATTTTCTTCATCTGATTGAAATAGAATGTTGGCATTTTGTCATTTCCTACACATTTGGACCATATTACATGGAAAACATTACCGTAAAAATATTTAGAGCCAACCTTCCACTTAATGGGACTGAAGCTTTGGTAATGCATATATATATTTCACCAAAATCTTTTCCTTAGTGATTCTCATGCTGAATCTTTTGATCTTTCAACATGCTTTGGATTGAGCAGACTGGGGGGAGAAAGAGCAGTGGCATGGAACTGGAGAAGGACAGGAAGGAAAACTCACCCTGTGCCCATGGAAGTAAAAAAATATGCTTTTTGTGCATTAAGATGGGGACGAGTGCAATCGGAACACATCTTACTTGTTTTGTTATCTTGAAAAGGAAGCTTATTAAGAGGAAATCTGTTAAAATGTAAGAAGTTACACAGAGACCACTGCACAAAGATAGCATGAATTCAAATATTACAATCAGAGTATTGGAAAAAATTATCAAAACCACTAACTATAATCTGGCAATGCCCCTGAAGACTACAAGGAGATAAATATTGTTCTAATCCGGAAAAAAGGGGAAAGGAAATCTGGGAAATAATTGAACATCTTGGGCAGGTTTTTTGGGAAAGATTATTGAACAATGTATTTGTGATCAGTTGGTTTAGAACAGTGGTTCTCAACCTTTTTAATGCCGCGACCCCCAACCGGTCGTAAATCGAGGACTACTCAACCGGTCGTAAGTTGAGGACTACTCAACTGGTGCAGCACCGTTTGCAGAATGGGACTTTTGGCAGGCTCAGCAGGGCAGAGACAGCCTGGACAATTCCTATTGGCTTTTGAAAGCCAATAGAATTAGACTCTATTCAAAAGAGTCTATTCTATTGGCTTTCAAAAGCCAATGGAATAAAAGGGAGTAGCACAGCTAAGGAAAAGGGGAAAAAATGGTGGACTGCGTTGTTTGGCGACCCCCGTGAAATGGTCATTCGACTCCAAATGGGGTCCCGGCCCACAGGTTGAGAACCACTGGTTTAGAATGTCACAGTTACAAGAGCCAGCACAGCTTTTATTATGAGTAAATTATGCTAGATTAACCTTGCCTCTTTTTTTTTTTTTTTACAGAATTACCAGCTTAATAGATCAGGGGAATGCTGCAGATATAATCTCAGCAATGAATTTGATAAAGTCATCATATGTAGACTAATAAAATGGTAAAATATGAGCTGGATTATACAACATAAAACAATACTTCTGAATATCTCAGTATTAGTCTGAGAATAGTGCTAAGTGGACTACCACATGGTATTCTGTCTTAGCCCTTGCTGTTCAAGATTTTTATTAATGACCTGGATGGAAAGATTGGGGAAGTAATTACCAGATTTGTGAAATATCTAAAACTAGGAGGAGTGGCTAATTCTTTAGAAGAGAGAGAGAATTTAAAAAAAAAAATATCCCTTTGATAGCTCAGCTGGTAGAGTGGAGGACTGTAGAGTTGCTTGTACTGAAATCCTTAGGTCGCTGGTTTGATTCCGGCTCGAAGGAGGCTTTTTATTCTCTCCTTTGTCATCATTTCTAAAGTTGCTATTCATCTTTTGAGAGAAACAAATTATGATCTTGCTTTAAGAGACAGTTTGGTCTAGTGTTTAAGGCACCAGGCTAGAAAGAGGGAGATTGTGAGTTCTAGTCTTGCCTTAGCCGTGAAAGCCAGCAGGCACAAATGTAAAATTCTACCTCTTAAAAGGAAAAAAAAAAGGCTCATTATAGTATAGAGAGACTTCACTTGGCAGTGGTACAGGGTACTGTTGGGTATTTTGTTAGATCATAAATTGAATATTAGACAGTTTAATAGATAAATGCAACTTTTTAAAGTTAAAAAGTCATAACAAAACTCAGGTGTTTAAGTTATAGGTTTGGTGGACAAAGTAGTTTGGTAATAATACCTCTTAAAGAATTCTTAGTTGTTGATTGCAAATTTAAAGTAAGCAATTGTTCCATCCCATCCTGCTTTATTCAGCACTAACTCAAATGCTCTGTTGACTTTTGGGTATCAATTTAGAAAAATGAGAACAGGTTCAGAATAGGATGGTGAGGTCAATCCGGAGACAAGAAATGAAGATCCTGTGAAGAGAAAGGAGTTCTGTGAAGGTCCTAATGTCAAGATCTGCTCTCCTTTCTTCTAGTGTGAAGGACATGGAGTAGTGAGTTTAAGTTATGGGAAGGCAGATTTCAACTGAATTTTAGCAATTGGTTAATAATAGAAAGAACTTGATGATGGAACCACTTATCCAG